CTGGGATTACAGGCACGCGCCACCATGCCCAGCTAATGTTTTGTATTTTTAGTAGAGACGGGGTTTCACCATGTTGACCAGGATGGTCTCGATCTCTTGACCTCGTGATCCACCCGCCTCGGCCTCCCAAAGTGCTGGGATTACAGGCTTGAGCCACCGCACCCGGCCCTCCTATGTATGTGTTTTTAAAAACAGTTCATTCATTCATTTATTCAATAAACAATTTAAGAAAACATTTGTTTATCAAATTTTCTCATAGCTAGGCACAGTGGCTCTTGCCAGTAGTCCCAGCACTTCGAGAGACCAAAAAGACCAAGGCAGGAGGATCACTTGAGCCCAGGAGTTGGAGATCAGTCTGAGTAACATAGCGAAACCCTCTTTCTACAAAAAAAATAAATTAAATTTCCTGAAGGGATAGATGATTTGAACAAATTAAATTTATGATGCCTGGGGAGTATGTGTATAATACAGAGTTTGAGTATTTATCCAAGTGAAGGTGTTGAGAAGGCAAGTGAATATATATATACATATTGCCCAGAGACAATGTCGAGGTTAGATGGCAATCGAGATTTTATTAAAACAAAAAAATTTCAAAGGTATTAAACCCAAATTAGCAAAACAAATCTTAAGTAGAAGAAATGTGTAGTTTCTTGCATTTAGGTTTTGTTAGTAGCAATAAAATAAGAGACAAACCAGCACTATTCAAAAGGTGGGGGAAAACCAGGGGTTTTGGTTAACCACAAGTTTAATTTGAACCTAAAGTATTAACAACAGCAAAAAAAAAAAAAAAAAAAAAAAATAAGGAACCTGTAGGTGTGACTACAAGAAGAAAAATGGTTATTGGTATTCAAGTATCTAGTGGCAAGCACAGTGCTTTATTTATGTCATCTCAGTAGCTCCCCTAAAGGTGTGTGTTACCCCAGGTATGCTTCACCCCCACCTAGTGCTTGTGGTTTTCTGCATGCCGTGCCGTTCCTGCCTCCCTGCCTCTGCTCAGCCGCCTGTCTCCGCTTAGAATCCTACATCCCCTTCCTGAATTCACCTAGGCGTTGAAAGTCTTCATCTTAAAACCCACTCAGCGTTATCTTCAGAAAGCCTCCCAGGCCTGGTGCAGTGGCTTTCACCTATAATGCCAGCACTTTGGGAGTCTGAGGCAGACGGATAGCTTGAGGCCAGGAGTTCAAGACCAGCCTGGCCAACATGATAAAACCCTGTCTCTACTAGAATTACAAAAATAAGCCAGGCATGGTGGCATGTTCTGTAGTCCCAGCTTCATGGGAGGCTGAAGCACCCATCTCACTGTCATTAATGTTTTTTTACTCACTAGCATCTATTGGTCAGACTAAGCTTTAAATATTGTGCCCAGTTTTAGGCCCCAGACTGTTGGGATGGCAAGGGGACTGGTAGCTTTGTCGTGTGGCCAATGGAGGGACACGCTCTTCCTTCAGCTGTCTGATGGGTTGCCACAGGCTCTGCAGAGCACCTTGTGGCATGTCACTCAGAGCAAGGAGGGATTGTCTAAATTAAAACCATTTATAACCAATGGTTTGCTTTGCAGAGTAATAAGTTAAGTTCCCTGTCACCCAAAGCTCAGTGTGGACTTCTCAGGTCATCTTTATTGGACACTAAAGTGGATTCGTGTCTACAGTCCTTTTCAGCTCTGAGATTATTCCATGAGCATTTATTAGGCACATTCTCTGTGCCAGGTTCTAACAAAGGTCAAAAGTCTGTGAATGGAGAAAGGCCAGGAAGGATGGACTAGAAGCATCTCAGACCACATCACAATGCTGAGAACATTTGGACCAGGCTGATAGGGCATTCCCAAGCCAGGGCTTCCCCCACAGACGAATTCTGTGTTGGGAAGGAATGGGCTGGCACTGTTACCCCTGCCATGTTCAGTCAGTGGCTGAGAGCAGCCTCAGAGCAGCATGGCCTCTGTGCACCAGCTCTGCTCCCATAGTAGGTTCTCCTGCAGGGCAACTGAAGGGCATTCTTCCATGGCAGCCCCACAGGGACTCCAGAGAGCATTGCCCCTCACACAGCAGCTCCCCCGAGTGCTCCCCCAGAATCATCTCAGGGCTCTGTGGTCATCTTCCAGCAAATGGTAGAGTTGGGCTTCAACTCAGATCCCTCTAATGTAATAAAATCCATGTTTTGTTAACCAAGAGCATGCTGGATCTCAGGATCTGTCCTAGCTCTCAAGACAGTATCCAGAACACACACCTACTTGTTGACTGTCACATTTAGCAACTGAGTGTAGCAGAAGCAGTAAGTGCCAGAACTTAGCCCATAACGTGATGTTTGGCTCATTTACATTGGGATGGAACTATGATTTGATCCAAAGTTTATCTGGTTCTGTGTACTGTTTAGTCTAATTTATTTATTTATTTATTTATTATTTATTTATTTGAGACAGGGTCTTACACTATCACCCAGCCTGGAGGGCAGTGGCACAATCATGGCTCACTGCAGCCTCAACCTCCTGGCTCAAGTGGTCCTCCCACCTCAGCCTCCCAAGTAGCTGGGACTGTAGGCGCCCATCACCACACCTGGCTAATGTTTTTGTTTTTGTTGTTTTTTTGTAGAGACAAGGTCTCACTATGTGGCTCAGGCTCATATTAAACTCCTAGGCCCAAGTGATCCTCCTACCTCAGCCTCCTGTAAGTGCTGTGATTACAGGTGTGAGCCACTGTACCCAGCTAGTTTAATTTCTACTAGACTTCATGAAGACAGGGCTGCAAAGACTTAACTAGGGGAGGAGCAGCTTTACCTAAGCACATTCTCTTAAAAGATATGTTGTTTCAGGCTCCAAAACACAGAGATGGTAACTTCTGCCCTCTTAAATATTGTGGAATGAATGATGAATTATAGGGAAGAATGATGAAGCACAAACTGCAGACCAAAACCCTTACTATTCACTCTGAATACATCTGTCCACAGATGTTCCCAAAGCCCTCAACACAAGGCTGGGACAGCTGAGGTCAGCTGTGCCCTAGGCTTCTAAACACCAGAGACAGACCTGAGTAGTCAGCGGCAAGGTTGAGACCCAACAGTGCAGGCATTCGGATCAGGCCCAAGACCCAGCACTGGCACTCAAGCTGTAAGATGGGCATAGGGTTCATTCAAAGTGAAATTGAGGGAATATATAGGGAAGGGCCTTATATATGGCACTGTACACAAAAATGTTGTTTAAAAATATAATAATAATCCATACACTGGATCATCCACAGTCTCCAAGCAGTAGGAGAGTTGGGCCCTGAGGGAACTCAGCCCTCTGGAACACTGAGGAACTGACTACACTGGCCAAGTTGAAGTTTCCAAGTCACAGAGAACTAATCCTATAAAAACCACTGTTTTTTTCATCTCATAACTGCAGGGCTGGGGATATAGATCTTCTTAAGTATGGTGAAGTGAACATAATAGGACTTTTTCTCGACTGCTAGTCTCAGCATTATTATAATCCACCATTGTACACATTTTCCTTCTATATGATTGCTCCCAAATTGTTGAGCATTACAGTTCTGTTTCCAGTCCCTCATCTTTATGCAGCCATGCTTGCTGATGACCACTCCTCACTGTGACCAGTGTGCCTACCTTCAGCAAGCACAATTCCCTCTTTAAAAAAAAAAAAAAAAAAAAAAGAGAGAGAGAGAGTGAAAGACCAGGCGTGGTGGCTCACGCCTGTAATCCCAGCACTTTGGGAGGCCGAGCTGGTAGATCACCTGTGATCAGGAGTTCGAGACCAGCCTGACCAATATGGTGAAACCCCATCTCTTTAATTAATTAATTAGGAACAAAGGAATATTGCTTTTTTAAATGTAGGAATTCTAATAGGCTGGAGATAATGTTAAAGATGATTAGGGCTTATGAAGAACCAGTGAGTTCTGAGAGACTTCCTCTGAATACCGTGCAGGGGTTTTAGTGTATTAATTTTAGTGATGGCTATTTTATCCTTGCAGGGGCTGCTTCCCTGCTTTTCGGTCATATTTTGAACAAACAAGGTTGCTTTGCTACGTAAATGTTTTCCACAAAGTATGGAAGTAGCCACCTATTTATTTTGATTTATGTTGCTCTTTTCTTAAATCACCTAAACACCTCATTGCTGACATAGCTTGTCTTGATGCTACCCTAGCATAATTCCATAAATGGAGCATACTGTTGGATGTTGGAAAGAATATTATCTGTATCATATGATCTAGAGTCAGTCAGAAGTGGTTGGAAATCCCCAGTTTAATCACGGTGTGAACTCATATACATCTTTTCAAGTCTCTGAGCCACTTTTTTCTCATCTAAAAAATGGAGGTAATAAATAGCTTCTTCATAAATTGTGAAACTTAGGTGCTATAATGCATTCTCTCATGCGCTTTTTTTTTTTTTTTTTTTTTTTAAACAGAGTCTCGCTCTGTCACCCAGGCTGGTGTGCAGTGGTGCAGTGCCGGCTCACCGCAACCTCTGCCTCCTGGATTCAAGCAATTCTTGTGTCTCAGCTTCCTGAGTAGCTGGGATTACAGGCATGTGCCACTGTATTTTTAGTAGAGACGAGGCAAGGGGGTGTCTCACAGGATTGGTCAGGCTGGTCTCAAACTCCTGACCTCAAGTGATCCACCGCCTTAGCCTCCCAAAATGTTGGGATTACAGGCATGAGCCACCATGCCTGGCCACATTCTCTTATTTAATACAGTACATGGAATGTTGTGAACAGTTGGCAAATTGTAATTGTAATTCCTTTCTCATCCAGTCAACTTTTCCCCTGGAAACAAAGCTGTGAGTCTTTTCCAAGCTATTGAAAGTTTTGGCACAGAATCTCCTCTCCCCTCTGCAGGCTCCTTAGAGAATATAAACTCACCACCTCACAAGGCAATTCTTCCGTAGACAGTTGGAAGTTCTGGCAGTTGGAAAGTTCTTTATCTCAAGTAGCAATTGGCCTGTTTCAGAAAAGGGCAAAGTCAACTTCCATCCCCTGTAGCTGAGGCTGACACCAGTTTTTTCTTGCTCTGTAGTGAACAGAGTATCTGCCAAGCCCGGGCTTCCGTGATGGTCTATGATGACACCAGTAAGAAATGGGTACCAATCAAGCCTGGCCAGCAGGGATTCAGCCGGATCAACATCTACCACAACACTGCCAGCAACACCTTCAGAGTCGTTGGAGTCAAGCTACAGGATCAGCAGGTCAGTGCTGGAATTACAAATTACACCCGTGAGTGAGCCTGCGCACCACCTCCTCACCACCCACCCCTTACACACACATATCATTCAAAGATTTTAGAACAAAAAGGTCAGTATTCAGAATCAGGGGGCCTGGGCTCAGATTTTGACTCTGTATCCTCATACATCAAGGTATGATACCTTAAGCAAACTGTTTTCTGGATTTCACTTTTTACCTATGTCATATGGAGACAGTAATCCACACCCTGACTATTTCACTGTGTTACTGTCAGATTGAAATAAATAATAGATGTGGGAAGCTTTGAAAAAATATATTGCACAAATGTGTTCACCTTACTCATATGTAAGGTGTTTTGGTTCATCAACCTTCTAAGTCTTACTTTAGAACGAATATCAAGATGATTTGGAGAACCTGGGGTCATTTCTCTCCCTAATAGTACAACCTAGGCAAATCAGAGATGATAATTTGTAAGTGTACCTGGCAAATACCTGCGTAAGTACAAGGGAACAACCATGTCCACCTGTGTCATGAATAGTACACACATAATCATGACAAAATACTCTGATGTGTCATGGACTAAAATAGGGACATGGAGAAACAGGCTGTGACTTAACCACAGGGACTTTGGTTAGTTTGGTGCTCCCCATCTAACTCTCTTCTTAAGAGATAGACAATGGCATTTATAGCACTGAAGTTAACAGATCTATGATTATAGCATTTATGAAAAACTATATATAAACAGCATCTTGTGGCAGCCTTTGTGGGTCAAGCTTCAGCTAAGTTGAGTAGCAGGTTAGCTGCTGTCTTGGAAAGAATCAGCAATCGGAAGAGAGAGAACAGAAACTCTGGGTTCTATTTTTAGTGTGTTGCCTGTTGATTGAGTTTTTGCTTTAACCAAAATAGCCTTATTAAGTTTGAGATGCTCATGGCTAACAGAGACATCTCTACCCCGGGACCCCTGATAAAAGGTAGTCTTTCTAACCTTGAATTCCTGGTACCTCCAGAGGCATCCTTTTATCTTGTTGATGAGCCTTAATAGTATAATGGTATATGTGTCTTTCTAGAAACCTTCACAAAGCTGCCCCCCTGTCATTCCAATTCACTAATTCTAGATCTATCTTTTAGTGACACACTGTGCCACACATTGCAGGATATATAGAACCTTTGGCTCCAATTTTGGTGACAGTCAGAAACATCTCAAGTTTTTAGAGCATCTGATGGCTGGGGCTTGCGAGGGCAGTACTTCCAGGTCTTTGACACAAGGTCCATTACCTGGTGTGGTTCCTGAATCATAGTAGGTGTTCCCTAGGTGATTGCTTTTATTATGACAAGTTTTCTGTTCCCTTTCTGCCTCTTGGTTGCCCTCCAGGGTGTAGTAGGATGACAGCATGGTGTACTGCAGGCGTCCCCAAACTTTTTACACAGGGGGCCAGTTCACTGTCCCTCAGACCATTGGAGGGCCGCCACATACTGTGCTCCTCTCACTGACCACCAGTGAAAGAGGTGCCCCTTCCTGAAGTGCAGTGGGGGGCCGGATGAATGGCCTCAGGGGGCTGCATGTGGCCCGCGGGCCGTAGTTTGGGGGCGCCTGGTGTACTGGAAAGGACATGGAATGGAAGAGCTCCCCAAAACCCATACACAGCCTGTTCTCAGGGACCTCAGCACCTCACCGCCTCCTTCAGAGGAAACCACATGTTGAGAAAGAGACCTTTTCCCCACTCTAGGACGGACCGACAGCAATCTTCAGTGGTATTCTGTTTAAATTTGAAGGGCCGTGTTGATTCTAACTTGAGGCCTCCTAAGTTAGAGTCTGACTGAGAAGTTCCAAGCACAGCCTCCCACTTGGAATCGCATGTTCAGGAAACAGGCTATCAGACAGGATTGAGGATATCTCTGCAAATGGATGGAGCATGTTAGCTAGGAATAGAAAATAGATTCTTGGTAAACCAAGGCATTAGAGAAAATGGCAGGAAATCTGGTCCAGAACAACTTTTAGGGACCTCTATAGAAAGACTGATTTTTCACAGATTTGGTTTTAGTCCATGTGGATTACCACCTTAAAGTGGTCAGACATGGTTAAGAGAGTCAAAGATTCCTGTTTTTATAGGTAAAATAACCAGGATATAGGGATATCTAACAATGTTTAATGCTCTTTATGGTTAATGGAACACTTTTCACGTCTATTATTTCATTCTCCCAGTAAGATAATGGTACAAGAATTATTGTCACCACTTGCTAAACAGGTGGATATAAAACCAGGTAATCAGTTGTGGAGAAAAGATATAGTAACTTATAGTACCATTAACCAAAATCTAACCTGAATCTCACATTCGGGGTGAAAAACCGAAGGATTTTTAGTTGAGAATGCATTTTGATCACCAAAAAATGTGGCTGGTTGCAGTGGCTCATGCCTATAATCCCAACACTTTGAGAGGCCAAGGCAGGTAGATCACTTGAGCCCAGGAGTTCGAGACTAGCCTGAGCAACACAGTGAGACCCCGTCTCTGCAAAAAAACATATATATAAATTACCTGGGCATAGTGGGGCATACCTGTTAGTCCCAGCTACTCAGGGGGCAAGGTGAGAGAGTCCGTTGAGTCCAGGAGGTTGAGGTTTCAGTGAGCTGTGATCACGCCACTGCATTCCAGCCTGGGTCACAGGGCAAACTCTGTCTCAAAAAAACAAAAAACAAAAACAAAAATGTTAGTGATTTCTCAGGCTGAGTTAGAAGTAGAGTGAATTGGTAGAAGTAGAATAAATTAATAGAGTAAATTAGTAGAGATGGAGTGAATTTATTGAGGCAGAGGTCCAGAAGAAGGGAGACTACAGTCCTGCTCTGCTCTGCTCTGCATGAATTATACTTCCCTCAGGACACGGGACTGCATCTGAGTACAGCAAACTGAAATCTGCTAGAAGAAGGGCATCCAAACTGGTGGAAGATCTGAAAGTGATATAATATGGGGAACGATTGAAGGAGTAAAAAGAGATACTTACTTGGAGAAGATAGAAATGTTTTCAAGCCTCTTAAGGGTGCTATGTGGAAGAGAAATCTCACTTTCATTGTGGACCCCAGAGAACAGAACTAGGAATATTGCCTGGATGCTATAATGAAGATGATTTTAATGCAGTAAAAGGATGAACTTTCTTACAAGCACACTGTTGAAAGATGGAAGGTGTTACATTGCCAGCTCAAGACTTAAGATTCTGGGAGAGACAGTCTATCATCAAGTAGAGATTTGGATGAAATGAGACCCCAAAGTCTTTGCCAATCTGTAAATTCTGTAGTTTTTAGATCCAGGCATATATAGAGACAAGAAGATTGATCTCCACCATCCAGCATCTTTCTTTTTTTAAAGGACTCTTGACTGTTTTTACCCAGAGTCCCCAGAAACATGTGAAAACAGTACAGTTATGCATCCCTTAATGAGAGGGGATACATTCTGAGAAATGTACCGTTGGGGGATTTTGTTGTCATGTGAGTATGCTTATACAAACCTAGGTGGTATAGCCTACTACGCACCTAGGCTATATTGTATAGCCTGTTGCTCCTAGGCTACAAACCCATACAGCATATTACTGTACTGAATACTGAGGGCAGTTGTAACACGTGTATGGAAACATATGCGAGCATAGAAAAAGTATAGTAAAAATACCATACTATAGTCTTACAGGACTACATTGTATTTACAGTCTGTTGTTGACCAAAACATAATTATGTGGTCCATGATTATATTTGGAGTTGCAAGACCTTCCTTTAAAAGAACAGGAAAGGCACTCCTACTTACTCCTACACTCCCCAGAATAAAACTTGTGCAAACGTTGTAATTATGGGCTCCTATGCAAAAAGTATGACATTTTAAAATGTTCATCCTTCAGCAAGTGTCCAGATCAGTCCTGCCAAACCTTGAAGAATTATTTTTAAAATAAAGCTGGTAAAGAGATCCCAACGAGGCCTCCAAAAACAAAAAGTTGAAAGTAAAAAAAATTGGAAAAGATAAACATTACAAACACTAAGCAAAAGAAATTGGTGTGGCTATGTTAGTTATCAGACAAAGAAGCCTTTAAGGCAACAAGTATTTCTAAAGATAATGACAGACCTTTTTAATGATAAAAGGGTAATTGAAAAAGAAGTCATAGCATCCCTACATTTGTATGAATCCATTCATATCTTCAAAACACATAAAACAAAAAATCTAAAGGGAGAAAGAGACAAATTCAGAAGCATAGTCGGAGATCCTAACTATACCTCCAGGCTACTGATTGAATAAGGAAATAGAAATAAGTAAAGACAGAAAACTTGCATAACATTATTAACCAACTTGACCTAATTTACATTTGTAGAAACTATAGCCAACAACTGTACGATATATAGTCTTCTCAAGTAAACATAAAACATTTACCAAAATAGAACATATGCTGGTTATAAATAGGTGTCAAGTTAAAAAGGATTGAAATCATATAGAGTATGTTCTTTGACCACAGAAGAATTAAACAACAAATTAGTAACAGAAGAGTACCTTTTAAAATCTTCAAATGTTTGGAAATTAAGTAGTGTAATACTGAATGAACCATGAGACAGAAAAGAAATCACAGTGTAAACTAGAAAATATTTTGAACAATAATGAAAATATAGCATAGCAAAACTTGTGGGATGCAGATAGAACGGTACATATGAGCTGAGTGCAGTGGCTCATGCCTATAATTCCAACACTTTGGAAGGCCAAGGAGAGAGGATCAACTGAGGCCAGACATGAGACCTGGAGTTTGAGACCGTCCTGGGCAATATAGCAAGACTCCACCTCTACCAAAAAAAATTTTTTAATTAACTGGGCATGGTGGCACGTGCCTGTAGTCCCTGCTACTCAGGAGACTGAAGTTGAAGGATCACTTAGGCCCAGGAGTTTGAGGCTGCAGTGAGCCGTGGTCATACTACTGCATTCCAGCCTGGATGACAGAGTGATAGCTTGTCTCAAAAGAAAAGCCCCCAAAAAGTACCTATGGG